TGATAGCCAATTCTGAACAAAATTGCTTATGACTCTTTAAAAAGAGACAACCAGCGACATCAAAATATGAAACTTTCACAGGTGTTATCCATTAATGTATTTTTTGAAGACATAATGTAATTTAGTTCGACTACCTTACCTGTCAGTGTGCTTGGAATCCGCTTGAAACGGTGAGGCGGTGAGGTCCATTTTCTGAGTAAGAAGATTCTTGGACATGTCTGTGGCACAAAGAGGACATCTTATTGTAATAATAGATAATTCTATCAGGGAATAGCTTCTTTTTTTATCACGATAATACAAACTTTCAGGCGTAACAGCCCTTCGACAGGTATAATAGTTCATTGTATACATAGCTAGTCATATATACAATGGTCTAGTCAAATTTCTTCAATAACTTAACAGCATTAATCGCTGTAAATAGAATTAATATTTCAAAATATATATATGTAAAACGAAAATTAAAATTATACCGCGAATGTTTCTTTTAAAAATCGAAATTTATTTTCAAAGAGAAATAGCGACATTTCTAACTTCCTCAAAGTTAGAAATGTCGCTATTTCTCTTTGAAAATAAATTTCGATTTTTAAAAGAAACATTCGCGGTATAATTTTAATTTTCGTTTTACAATCATCAGCCGCGTTATATTGTATTTTAAATGTTACTTTAAATATAAGTTATGAACGGAAAAATACGTCCAGGGTAGCCGAGTGGACAAGGCACCTGCCCGGTAAGCAGAAGGGTGTGGGTTCGATTCCCGCCCCTGGACACTTTTTATTTTTCCGTTCTCCATTACTCTTCATGTTTCACCTTTCCATACCTCATCCTCAAAGTTAGAAATGTCGCTATTTCTCTTTGAAAATAAATTTCGATTTTTAAAAGAAACATTCGCGGTATAATTTTAATTTTCGTTTTACAATCATCAGCCGCGTTATATTGTATTTTAAAATATATATATGTTATATTAAAATATTTTATTTAAAATTTTGTTATATTAAAATATTATTTTATTTATAATTATATTTCATCGATTCAAATACTTTGTTAAATCGACCGCCAGAGGTCACGCTTTCCCTATAAATACTCATTGTTTTTGTTCCCCGTTGGCCGGCTCAAACCTTTTGTACATTATGTAAATAAGCTTTTCATTTTTTTATTCTTACGCCTTAAGCCAGGCAAGTACTTTTATCAAATTATATATTTTTATATATATTCCTTTAGTTCTATTAAATTACTGATCAAAATTATTTTTATTATCATACTTTCAAGATTTAACCACGACTGCATTAACATAGTATGATCCTCAATATATTCCAAAATCAAGCAGATAATATATTTTTTATTTATAACATATATACTTTCTTTTAAAATATATAAAATTAAAACCTCTATTTCTCTCTACATACCTTACCCTGCAATGGTTATAAATTCAAAAGAGGGAAGGCATGGATCATTATTAGATAACCCCCCAGCAGTTAGATAATTAAATCTCCATACAGCTCTACTATTACATTAGACTGCATGTCTTATATATCCTGCGGAATTTAGGAATATAATATACACAGGAAACAATAAAAATATTCCATGAACTTCTCGTCGTTTTTTAATATTTGATGTGATATAGCCTTTTTAAAAAGTTAGAAAATAATTATTATAAATATTCATGTATTTTACTCATATCCAGATTAAACTTCAAATATTTAATATTTTTTTTAAATTTTCTCTCGAATATCGAGTGAATATTTAGGTTTAATTGCATTTTCCGGATTTAAAAGTCTGAATATGAGTCTTTCCAGACTTAAGTAGGCGGGAAAGTTTAGCCTGGATTTATAGTTCACACATAATTTTAGATATTTATCATAATATCATTTTAGAATGAGTCTTCAGAAGCCAGATATGAAGAATAAAGAATTTTATAATGATTTTGAACCTGTATTTGTTGATTGCAGTCACAGATTGGTGCTCGTAATTTGTGACGATCCATTTCAACCAAAGCATACATTTTGTGTTATAAAATATTACATGTTATAATATAGGCCTTTGTTGATTCTCTCTTGCAATGATGATGATACCTTCTTTTTCTAAATGGAATCATCATTTAATAATCGCGTATTTGATGTCCAAGCCAGACCATAGGGGACAAAACTTGAATATTATTCAACAAGTAAAATCTTGATTTAATATGAAAATTGATAATAAATTGATAACTGTATATTTTGAGCAATTACTGATTTTTAAAAATAAGATATAGCATATATATTTGGTTCTATGTTATTTTAGAGAAATCATGTTTATCCCACTATACCCAAATAGTATTTTGAGAAATGAGAATTAATGTCTGTTTGTGGAACAGGATGAAGCCATTGAGGACCTCAAATGTGATATAGAAAACTGACTCAGTTCCTGAGGATGTCATTAACCAGAGACTAGCAGCAACCAACGTAAATTGGTAGACAGAATTTGCAATTCTCAGCCTGCAACCCCAAAACACATTATTAACTGTATTGACTCATCCATTGATGAACTCTACTCTTCCCCGGCAGACACCATCAAAAGTCTCAAGCTTCACAAGCTTGATACCTTAATATGATTGATTGGAGATAAGAAAGAAGAGGAAGAAGAGAACACAGAGAGACAATATGATTTATCATCTCGCTATCTGTTTTAATTGGAACTAATTCATAAAACTAATTTATAATTATATGTATATCCAGAGGGGCATGTTTGTTCAATACATAAGTAGATGCATATTTCCTTAGCTATACCACCTGATCTCGTGAAATTACTCTTTCGTACTATTGTTCGAGGTTTATATAAGTGTTATAGAAGATAGTATTACATGATAGAGTAGATAACGAATGAAGACATTAAGACGCGAATGTTTCTTTTCACAAATAAATCAAAATTCTACTGTCCCTACTGCGATGAAAAGATATTGGGAGGGCTTGGCTTATCAGTGGTGAACCTTCCCAGCGATTTCGCCAAATTTTATTATACCAGATCACTTTTTTAGAGCTCTAATACTGTATTGGATCATTCTGCTTATATATGTATATTATACTGAAGGATGGAATCTTAAAAATAGTATTTAAGCAAACTATGAACATAAGATTTTAGGACACAGTAGAATTACCTTTAAATATTTGCATCAAGCAATGCTCTTCCGCAAACAATAAGGACAAGGCCAGTAAGACATAGATTAATATAAAGCAATAAAACGCGCCATCTATATATAATAAACGTAATTATTGAGCACGAAAATGCCTTTTTACACACAAAACAAACTTCTAGCCCTTACTACGATCGAAAAAAAATAAGGACAGTAGAAGTTTGTTTTTTTTTTGTGTAAAAATACACCTTTGTGGGGGGGGATCCTATAATGTTATTTAAGCATACTATGGATATAAGTGTTTAGGACAGTAGAATTATATATACATATTTGCATCTAGCAATGCTCTTTCCCAAACAATAAGAACAAGGCCTGTAAGGCACCATAGACCATAAGACGTGCCATCTCTATATAATACACGTGAGTATTAAATCACAAAAGTGTCTTTTTACACACAAAACAAACTTCTATGGCCTTACTGCTATTGTAAATATTATAATAAGGACAGTAAAAGTTTGTTTTGTGTGTAAAAAGACACTTTCGTAATTTTGTGGGATCCTATAAATGATATTTAAGTAAACTATGCATGAATTAAACGAAAATATTGCGCTACAAATTTTAAAAATAAAACTACAACCTTTCGCAATGAGTTTCTTTTATTATGATATGCGCACAAATGTTTCATTTTTTGCCTGTAGAAGGGCGGCTCCAGCCCGAAAGCTCGCGCATATCATAATAAAAGAAACTCATTGCGAAAGGTTGTAGTTTTATTTTTAAAACTATGCATATAAGTGTTAAGGAGAGTAGAATTACATATAAATATTTGCAGAGTATATGTGTTATTAAGTAAAGAAGCAGCCAATTATGCAGTAAACGTGAGGTAAATCCTATGGTTGCGTTGTCAGAACGCAACAAATTTAAAGATCAATCTTAGGGAGAAAGGAAGGAAAAGAAGGAATAGAAACCGGGTCGTTAGGGCATCAAAGGCTAACGAAGGCAAATTGGATAAAAGAAAGGGGAACACAAAGGCCTTGATTTCTACCACCGGGATGTGTGTGCATCAATTGGGTTCTAAGAATGGAAGACACCATTTTCTTTGCTCATTACCTTCACATACTTAGTATACGGTACTTTTTATCTTTTAAAGCTTTAACCCCATTTATGAATTCATATCTATGTATATTATTTTGGTTAAAGTCATTTCATTGTATTCTTCGAAGAATATTTACTGAGGTATATATTCTGTTTCTTTGTGAAAATATTTCTTGCAAATTTTGTGGAAATTTGGTGAAATTGCTAAAGTTAAATAATGTGTGCTGTTAAAAATTATATAGATAACTTACTGTTAGGTCTTGAAAATATGATTTGTGTTGAACACTTTCGGGTTTTGTCCTTTCTCTCTACTTGTTAATAAATTTTATTTATGAAATAAGTGTGTGTGTTTTGTTTATCTGAATCTTGTGGTTTATATTTAGGTAAAAAACAATATAAAAAAATAAAGTAATAAAATGCAGGTGTTAGTATTAATATATCAAAAAAGGCATATCCTGACCACAATAATATTAGCTTTTTAGATGTCAGAGCACCATCTAGTGGAACAGAAATTAACTAAACGTTGATTTAACCTGTTCCCTGATGGGTTGGACAAATTTCAGGCCCCAATATAATTAATTTATATAAAATACCAATATACTTTTAAAACATTCTTCTCCAAATTGAAGATACTTCTGCCAGTAAATCTTATTTTTACTTCGACGTTACTGGACGAAGTATCTTTAATTTGAAGAATTATGAATGTCGGCCAGGCAGCCTCTATATTTACGATATTTATAACTTTGACTGTATTATTCACGGCATGTTCCATTGTGTTTAGATTCTATGTATCAGAGAGCTTACGGCCATAACACATTGAAAACATCGGTTCTCATCTGATCGCCAAAGTAAAGCAATATCAGCCTCGGTCAGTACTTGGAAGGGTGACCTATCTGAGATATTAGTGTTGTACATAGTTGTATTATACATATTTCATCATATATTTTCATAACCAATTTTTTATATTTTTATTTCTAACTCTGTTGAACCTCATAGAATAATCCTTTGTATAACAGAGGGTCTAAATAAATGATATTTATACATTTCTACTCATAAAACTACTGTTAAAAAAAGCTTTCAATGCATAATACTATATAAACAGACAAAGGTCGCCTCTCCCGTCAAAATAGACGTCAAAATTAGACGCCATCTATTGACCGTCGCCGCAAACTAGCGGCCTCAGGTCGGTGACAAAGCCACAACACCAGCTTTGGCAAACTGAAAAGCGTCCACCTAGAGACCAATAGATGGCGTCTAGTTTTGACGTCTATTTTGACGGGAGAGGCGACCTTTGTATCTTTAGATCAATATCCTCCCGGCAAAATTTCCATCTATATAATACTATATAAAAATGGAAAATAAATACTTCAGCTATATCACCATTGAAGATTTAGATCTGGACCGAGTGCGTTTGCACAATATCTACGTGGTCTGAGACTATATCAAAATATTTTCACTAATTTTTGTAGACCGATATGTGAGCAGATTAAATCATATTTTGAAAATTTACAAAATATGTTCTTTTGCGCGTGTATGTGTGTTTGTTAATTCCTTTCTTATAACATATTGTTACGTCAATTCAGTATAGCATGATGATATTCATGCACGAACGATGAAGAGATTCAGTTTTGATATACAAGCGATCTTCCACACATCAATTACAAATAATAAACTATCCACACAGGATACAACAAAACAACGAACTTGAGTTCAATTTTAGCGGCAACAGCTTCATCAACCGCAGTTGGGATTGAGCTTTCTGATTGGTCATTTCCCCGACACATATAGATTTGAGTTGACACGAAGCAATGATCTTCTTTCAAGAAGATTCCAGAGAAGTGTAATCTTTTATTTCTACATCGCCGCTTAACAACATTTTCATTAATTTTTAAAGCTAACGCATCATAATAATAATATTTTTAAAAATACTTTTACTTGAGATTTTCGGAAGAGCAATGCTTGAAGTATATTATATATACAGTTACGAGCGTCATGCGTGGCCTCTGTCACGGTTTGCTTTTTTTTTTTTGGAATAGCGCCCTCCTATTGGTCGGCTACGATCACGCCACCTTTGCTCCCCCCCCCCCCCCCCATCATGCCCCCTCCCCCCCCCCCCCCATTTCTGTAACTATTGTGTTGGAGCGGGTCGCTCCTTAAATAAATGCATATATTAGTTAATAACCAAATGGAATCCTCTCTTTCTTTTTCCCAGTAAGAGACGCCTACGGAAGCCAACAGTACATAGACAGATAAAGCACATAGGCTATATTTATTAACTAACATATGCAATTATTTAAGGCGCCAATTTATAATTTTAACAAATAGTATTTGAATCAAAACATTCAATCGGGTAAAATACGGGCGTTGCCCGGGTCATTCGGCTAGTATTATATATTTATAAGTGTGTGTAATTCTATTGTCCTCAAATCTCATGTCCATAGTTCATCTAAAATGCTCCTTTCAAGAGTCTAGCTTCAGTATCGGTATAAAAGGAAAACCGAAAAATGCAATATTACAGTGGTATGGTAGATTAAACTGGAGAACCCGCTGGGAGGGTTTAACACAGATTAGCCAGGCCCTCCTATTATTTAATCATTGCAGTAAGGACAGTAGAAATTTGATTTATTCTAAAAATAATAATAAGCGTCAAAAATAGTACAAATTTCTTACACCAGGTGGCGCGGGTAGAATGACAATAATTTCATTTCGGAATGGTTCGATTGTCATTTGAAAGAAGTCTAAAATATCATCAATAACATAGCGTCGTCTAACGATGCAAATTATAAACATACTTTTATAACATTATTTTAAAAAATAATTAAAATTAATTCTATAGCCTTTTTCCTGCGAAGATCGAAAATTGAAAGAGGGAGGGGCATAGCTTATCAGTGTAAACCTTCCCAGAAAATGACGAAACCGCTGGGAGAGTTTATCATTGATGAGCCATCCCATACCTTTTTTAATTTCCAATCATCAAAGGATTACAGCTGTAAAATTCATTTTAATTCTATTTATTTTAAAAGAAAAATAGAGATTAAAAAATGTTTATAATTTCAATCGAGGAATGTTGTTTAACTAGTAGAGGTAGTTTGAGAGAGGGGGGACAGAGTTACATTACCGACCTGCAGTGTAGAGCGGGTAGCTGGGAGGAGGCGCGCCGTGGTGACTTTCTACTCGCCTTGAGTCATCCTCACTGGTCGGACGGAAACCACTCTGTTGCTGCGCCACACGTCACCATGCTGACAAACAACAACAAATATAGCTCTCAAGAAAAATAAAGAGCATCTCAAGATGCCTCTTATATATAGTTTAAGATCTTTAAAAGAGATAGCTCAAAACTTCACAACTAAAGACTGTGAGGTAATATAAAGATATATTACTCAGTTTTATAGCTATTTGTAAACTCCGCCTATGCCGGTCCCAAGCCCGGATAAAAAAGGAGGAGGGGGAGCAGTAACAAGCTCACTAAAAACCTGGGTTCAGCTGGCCCGGCTGATAGTAACCTGTAAGGGCTCCTAATCCAGGGATACAGGATGAGCAGCATTTGTACTCCATGTTAGGAGCATCTGCACATGGCGTCTGTTCCTCATGTCAGAGGCAACCATTTCTTTTGGAGCTAAGTCGGCCTGCCACTGAATAGTGCTCCCAGTCTTAATGACAAAGGCAGACGCATTCTACTTCATCCAGTCATGGTGGTTGTTAAACAGACACCATCAAGGGTCCCAAATTGATACCCTAATATGATTGAGTCGAGATAAGAAAGAAGAAGATAGCTATTTGTAGTCGATAGATGGGTTTATAACAGAAATATATTTATGAAAACTGTATAAAAGTCAAATTATACTGAGATAAGGTCTTCTTCTTTTTATCTTTGGAGATCAGGTGAATAAATTAAGTAAAAAATCATCTCCTTATCGCGCAATTCGATATCAATTATTTCAGAATTGACCATATACCCATTATTTATTATAAAGAGAAGCTAACCACTTGATTAATTAAGTATGGGTATTTGGTCAATTCTGTAATAATTGAAACTTAACGAATAGTTGATATTTATTCCGATAGAAGGCGCAAGCCATCAAAAACTTTTAGTTGAACTTTCAGGAGATGATTTTTCTTTTTTATTAATTTATTAACCTGATCTTAGTAAAATTTCACTTTTATACTAATTTTTCACGAATGCATCTCTGTTATAAACTTATATATTGGCTACACATGGCTATAAAACTGAGGAATAATTCTTTATATTATACCAACAGTCTCAAGTTGTAAAGCTTTTAGCTATCTTCAACAAAGATCCTAAACTATACATAATATTATGATTTTAAAATGGTCATTTCAAATCAAATATATTCACGATAGATGTGAATCTCCTGAGTAATCTCCTATAAATTGAAATAATGCAATAGGTTTCTAGATATGAGTTTATTTTCATTTTAGTATTTCATTAGTATATTCTCAAGCTAAGGCCATTTCATCCTTTCGGTTAGATTCAACCGATATTTATTATTATTCGCTCTTTACTTCTGCAGAAAGCGGAAATACTGGTAAACTTCAGAATACTATAATAAAATCCATCTACAGAATCCTGTTGCATCATTTTAACTAAATATATATATATTTTTTCAATATTTCGCATGTATATCCTTCAAACTTTATCGGGGAACATGAATTTTTGAGAAGCTCACTTATCGCTTCATATGCTTATACAAATGTTAAAAAATTCGTGTTCCCCGATAAAGTTTGACGGATATACAAATATACAAAATAATTGAACAAAAATATATAGTTTTAAAATAGAGCGATCCATAAATAGATATTTAATTTTAAAAGCATATATTGGATCAAAATATAATTTATTTTACCAATATTTCAGTTGGCTGAACGCCAACCTTAATGAAGATATTATAACATTTTTATATATTTACAATATACGTTGTAATATTTTGAAAAATCTTGGCCTCCAGCCAACTGAAATATTGGTAAAATAAATTATATTTTTATCCAATATATGACTTTTTAATTAAAATGTAAAGGATATTTGATCCAAAATGAATATTGTTTTAAATAATGGAAATGGGAATTGCATAGTTTCAAAACTTAGAATGATATACATTCATTTTCTTCGGCGACAAGTCCTTGTAGTTTGGAATTGTCTCCAAAGTCAGAATATTCTGTTTTCAGACACATTGAATCACTTAGCGACTTTCCACTGTGGTTGCCCCATTTTGATCCTCCCGATCTCTCTTTCTCGTGATGTGTCATCAAGATGGTGTCTTGTAGTCATTGATTGTTTTATCCTTGGTAAGGTGCCAAGTAGAACTAGAATAATTCACTATAAGTGTTCTCTAATGCTAGTAGGGTAAACCTTCTTTTCGAAGGAGACACGTGTTTGATCCTAATCATTTGATTATATATGTAAATTATTCAAATATTCTCTTTAGGGAGAACCTGGTTCAAAATCACATTAATAGGTACCGCTTAGCAAGAGCAACCTAGTTCGTGATAATTGAAACAGTGAATAATATGAGAAAACAATAGAAAAAAATAAAAGATAAGTGGGTCAGGTGTTGATATTAAAAATAAAGAAGGCATCTCCTGACTACGAGCACATGTGCTTTTTAGATGGCAGAGCGCCATCTAGTGGAGAAAGAATAAACTAAACGTTTATTTAGCTTGCTCCGTGATATTTGGCCAACCCAATTTCTTGATAAATCATCTTTTATATTTTTCTATTGTTTTCTCATGTGCTAAGCGTCTTTACGCAAATTTGGCCTTGAATACCCATTTCTTGATTTCTCAGGAAGCCATTGGGTCCAAAAAATATTTTTGGATGCAGTGGTTACAGCCTACTCCACGCTGACGAGCGCCAACAGCGCGAAACGCGTTCGTGGATGGCTTTTCTTGATTTATCAA